CATAGTCAGGAAGTGACTGGGTCATAGTGAGAAAGTGACTGGGTTTTGGTAAAAAAAGTGACTGGATCATGGTGAGAAAGTGACTGGGTCATGATGAGAAAGTGACTGGGTCATGGTGAGAAAGTGACTGGGTTATGGTGAGAAAGTGACTGGGTCATGGCGAGAGAGTGACTGGGTCATGGTGAAAAAGTGACTGGGTCATCGTGAGAAAGTTACTGGGTCATGATGAGAAAGTGACTGGGTTATGGTGAGAAAGTGACTGGGTTATGGTGAGGAAGTGACTGGGTCATGGTGAGGAAGTGACTGGGTCATAGTGAGGGAGTGACTGTGTCATGGAGAGGAAGTGACTGGGTCATGGTGAGGGAGTGACTGGGTCATAGTCAGGAAGTGACTGAGTCATAGTGAGAAAGTGACTGGGTCATAGTCAGGAAGTGACTGGGTCATGATGAGGGAGTGACTGGGTCATAGTAAGGAAGTGACTGAGTCATAGTGAGAAAGTGACTGGGTCATAGTCAGGAAGGGACTGGGTCATAGTGAGAAAATGACTGGGTCATGGTAAAAAAGTGACTGGGTTATGGTGAGAAAGTGACTGGGTAATGATGAGAAAGTGACTGTTTCATGGTGAGAAAGTGACTGGGTTATGGTGAGAAAGTGACTGGGTCATGGTGAGAAAGTGACTGGGTCATAGTCAGGAAGTGAATGGGTCATAGTGAGAAAGTGACTGGGTCATGGTGAGGGAGTTACTGGGTCATAGTCAGGAAGTGACTGGGTCATAGTGAGAAAGTGACGGGGTCATAGTCAGGAAGTGACTGGGTCATGGTGAGGGAGTGACTGGGTCATAGTCAGGAAGTGACTGGGTCATAGTGAGAAAGTGACTGGGTCATAGTCAGGAAGTGACTGGGTCATAGTGAGAAAATGACTGGGTCATGGTAAAAAAGTGACTGGGTCATGGTGAGAAAGTGACTGGATAATGATGAGAAAGTGACTGTTTCATGGTGAGAAAGTGACTGGGTTATGGTGGGAAAGTGACTGGGTCATGGTGAGAAAGTGACTGGGTCATAGTCAGGAAGTGAATGGGTCATAGTGAGAAAGTGACTGGGTCATGGTAAAAAAGTAACTGGCTCATGGTGAGAAAGTGACTGGGTCATGGTGAGAAAGTGACTGGGCCATGATGAGAAAGTGACTGGGCTATGGTGAGAAAGTGACTGGGTCATGGTGAGAAAGTGACTGGGTCATGGTGAGAAAGTGACTGGGTTGTGGTGAGAAAGTGACTAGGTCATGGTGAGAAAGTAACTGGGTCATGGTGAAAAAGTGACTAGGTTATGGTGAGAAAGTGACTGGGTCATGGTGGGAAAGTGACTGGGTTATGGTGAGAAAGTGACTGGGTCATGGTGAGAAAGTGACTGGATCATGGTGAGAAATTGACTGTGTTATGGTGAGAAAGTGACTGGGTCATGGTAAGAAAGTGACTGGGTCATGGTGAGAAAGTGACTGTGTTATGGTGAGGAAGTGATTGGGTCATGGTGAGGAAGTGACTGGGTCATGGTTAGGAAGTGACTGGGTCATGGTCAGAAAGTGACTGGTCATGGTGAGAAAGTGACTGGGTCATGGTGAGAAAGTGACTGGATTATGGTAAGAAAGTGACTGGATTATGGTGAGAAAGTGACTAGGTCATGGTGAGAAAGTGTCTGGGTCATGGTGAGAAAGTGACTGGGTCATGGTGAGGAAGTGACTGGGTCATGATGAGAAAGTGACTGGGTCATAGTGAGGAAGTGACTGGGTCGTGGTGAGGAAGTGACTGGGTCATGGTGAGGAACTGACTGGGTCATGGTGAGAAAGTGACTGGGTTATGGTCAGAAATTGACTGGGTCATGGTGAGAAAGTGACTGGGTCATAGTGAGAAAGTGACTGGGTCATATTGAGAAAGTGACTGGGTAATGGTGAGGAAGTGACTGGTTCATGGTGAGGAAGTGACTGGGTCATGATGAGAAAGTGACTGGGTCATGGTGAGAAAGTGACTTGGTTAAGGTGAGGAAGTGATTGGGTCGTGGTGAGGAAGTGACTGGGTCATGGTGAGGAACTGACTGGGTCATGGTGAGAAAGTGACTGGGTTATGGTCAGAAAGGGACTGGATTATGGTCAGAAAGTGACTGGGTCATGGTGAGGAAGTGACTGGGTCATGGTGTGGAAGTGACTGGGTCATAGTGAGGGAGTGACTGGGTCATAGTCAGGAAGTGACTGGGTCATAGTGAGAAAGTGACTGTGTCATGGTAAAAAAGTGACTGGGTCATGATGAGAAAGTGACTGGGTCATAGTGAGGGAGTGACTAGGTGTTGGTCAGAAAGTGACTGGATTATGGTCAGAAAGTTACTGGGTTGTGGTAAGGAAGTGACTGGGTCATGGTGAGGAAGTGACTGGGTCATAGTGAGGGAGTGACTGGGTCATAGTCAGAAAGTGACTGGGTCATAGTGAGAAAGAGACTGGGTTATGGTAAAAAAAGTGACTGGGTCATGGTGAGAAAGTGACTGGGTCATGATGAGAAAGTGACTGGGTCATGGTGAGAAAGTGACTGGGTTATGGTAAGAAAGTGACTGGGTCATGGCGAGAGAGTGACTGGGTTATGGTGAAAAAGTGACTGGGTCATCGTGAGAAAGTTACTGGGTCATGATGAGAAAGTGACTGGGTTATGGTGAGAAAGTGACTGGGTTATGGTGAGGAAGTGACTGGGTCATGGTGAGGAAGTGACTGGGTCATAGTGAGGGAGTGACTGGGTCATGGAGAGGAAGTGACTGGGTCATGGTGAGGGAGTGACTGGGTCATAGTCAGGAAGTGACTGGGTTATGGTGAGAAAGTGACTGGGTAATGATGAGAAAGTGACTGTTTCATGATGAGAAAGTGACTGGGTTATGGTGAGAAAGTGACTGGGTCATGGTGAGAAAGTGACTGGGTCATAGTCAGGAAGTGAATGGGTCATAGTGAGAAAGTGACTGGGTCATGGTAAAAAAGTGACTGGGTCATGGTGAGAAAGTGACTGGGTTGTGGTGAGAAAGTGACTGGGTCATGGTGAGAAAGTAACTGGGTCATGGTGAAAAAGTGACTAGGTTATGGTGAGAAAGTGACTGGGTCATGGTGAGAAAGTGACTGGGTTATGGTGAGAAAGTGACTGGGTCATGGTGAGAAAGTGACTGGGTCATGGTCAGAAAGTGACTGTGTTATGGTGAGAAAGTGACTGGGTCATGGTGAGAAAGTGACTGGGTCATGGTGAGAAAGTGACTGTGTTATGGTGAGGAAGTGACTGGGTCATGGTGAGAAAGTGACTGGGTCATGGTGAGAAAGTGACTGGGTCATGGTCAGAAAGTGACTGGTCGTGGTGAGAAAGTGACTGGATCATGGTGAGAAAGTGACCGGATTATGGTAAGAAAGTGACTGGATTATGGTGAGAAAGTGACTGGGTCATTGTGAGGAAGTGACTGGGTCATGGGTGGCTTATTTCCCTTCCTAAAAGTCGGAAATTTGCATCTGTTGTTGTCTTTATTCTAAATCTAATCTTTAATCCTCTATTGAACAAGAACATAGATTCTACCAGTGGAAAGCACCTGCAAACTTACCTGTTTGCATCAGTAGATGCAAGAGAAATGTAGTTTTAGTTGGAATCTTGTGTCGTTGAATTAAAGATTTGTTAACCTGCTAGCTTAAAATATTTAAAAAAAAAAAATCAAAAAAAAAAATTTATTACATATAGGTGGGATATTGTATATTAGAATTTCGTCGCCTCATGTGAGATGCAATTTTTAGCTTTTTTGGAGCCCCACCCTGGCTTTTGCCGTGGCCCTAAATATAGCTAGGCCTGAAATATGGCATAACGGCTGAACAGGGTTTCTGGGACATCTCCACAGGTGATCCTCATCCACATTATCGCTTGTGTGATGTCCTGGTAGGGTACAACTTACATACGTATAGGAACTTACAAAATTAAATCATAGTATGGGATGTCAGGTTTGGTATACGCCGCCCATTCGAAGTTAAAAGAAAACAGGTAGCACCCATTACTGGTTAACAGTAGCTCACTTGACGGCTGATGAAAAGATGTGAATAATGACGTGCTTATTTGACGGTGATATAAAGGTATATCAGTCAGTAGCATGTCCTTTGCAGAACGTTGGTCCAATAACAACTCTCCGGAAAAATTATTGATCACAGGCAAGATGTCCCGCGTCCGATACACCTATCTGGAAATCATCCACCACATCCTTCACCCATCTTATCTTTGGCCTAAGTCTTCCTCTCTTCCCAGGTGTTATCATCATCATCATCATAGGTGCGTTGCCGACTAGCGTGGGCGATCATGCCTCTCCACAATCTGCGATCTCCTGCAGCATGTATCAGTTCGTGTGCCGACACACCTCCATGCCATGCAACAAGACCGTAAAGAATCCTCTCTCGCTGTCCTGCCCCATCCCTCCTTCCACAGATCTTTCCAGTTGTCACAACATGTTCTATTTTCCCTCCTGTCACAACATAGCCGAAAAAGGATGACCGTCTCCCAGGTATATACCCCTTTATTTTTGTTCTCTCTAAACTTTCGTGACATTTCAAGTGACCAAAGTATTAAAATTTTATGTTTAACAAAGGTATGGATCCTTATATATGCATGTGAAGACTGGAAGAAATGTGACAGCTTTAGAAGACCAGGTCGGAGAACTAACTACAAATGTGCGCGAAGGATTCGTGCTTTGCTTGTCAATAAACCTCAGACTAGCCGTTTATATTTCTTACATAAAAAACATAGTCTAGCAGCGTTGACCCCGTGTATCACTGCTCCGCTACTGTCCCACCACGCGTGACTATCCATGGTTGAAGACCTACTTTTTTTAGATGACGCACATTACAAAAGAAAATTTAGAGTTTCTCTTTACAGCTGGTTTATTTCTTCTAGGAAGTTCCTCTCGTCTTGGTAGAGCCTGGACCTTGAGAAACTACTGACACACTGTTCAGATCCCATGGCGGATTTGAGGCATCTAGGATCATTAGTGGTGTGCCTCGTCTGTCTGTGCAGATTGAGCCAACGTGAGTACTGTCATGTCTACTGTCTGTCTGTGCAGCTGGAGTTAGCGTGAGCACTGTCATGTCTACTGTCTGTCTGTGCAGCTGGAGCCAGCGTGAGTACTGTCATGTCTGTCTGTACAGCTAGAGCCAACATGAGTACTGTCATGTCTACTGTCTGTCTTGCAGCTGGAACCAGCGTGAGCACTTTCGTGTCTCGTATGTCTGTGTAGCTGGAGCCAGCGTGAGTACTGTCATGTCTCGTGTGTCTGTGTAGCTAGAGCCAGAGTGAGTACTGTCGTGTCTCGTGTGTCTGTGTAGCTGGAGCCAGCGTGAGTACTGTCGTGTCTCGTGTGTCTGTGTAGCTGGAGCCAGCGTGAGTACTGTCGTGTCTCGTGTGTCTGTGTAGCTGGAACCAGCGTGAGTACTGTCGTGTCTTTGTTTTTATTCTCTTACACATGGGGCATTGCTGTATGTTTTCACACACCTGGGACAGTGCTGAATGTTGTCCCTTACATGGGAGATTGATGAATATTCTCCAACACATGGGGCATTGTTGAATGTTTGGTAAAGTAACGTTGGTCTCCCCACGACCCGCCCATATACACACTAGTTCACTTCTGATTAGTAGTTCCTGAACATGTCACCTTGGCACAAGATTACGGGTGTGTTCCGCAATGCCGTTGATACCGCGTGCTGTATATTTCAGCACGTCAGCGCTTTTAACACCCAAAAAACATGAACAGACTAGTCCTAATACAACTACCTCTAGAGAGTGCTACAACCTATGTCACAGGCATTCTCTTTCTCGGAATGAAAACGTAAATGCAAGACATCACAGAAAGCAAACAACAGAGTGGAACACACACGTAACCTTCAGGAAAGTCGTCAGCCCAACAAACAAAAGTGACCTACTCTATTTGGGGAGATTAACGTGAACCTAACCGAATTTTTTCCCACATATGGTTCTCCAACACATAGTTCTCCCGCACATGATTCTGGCACACAAGAATCTCTCACATATGATTCTACTACACAACGTTCTCCCACACATGATTCTAGTACACAAAAATCTCTCACATATGGTTTTCCCAAATATGGTTCTCCCACACATAGTTCTCCCACACATGATTCTGGCACAAAAGAATCTCTCACATATGGTTCTCCCACATATGGTTCTCCCACACTTCGTTCTCCCGCACATGATTCTGGCACACAAAAATCTCCCACATATGGTTCTTACACATCATTCTCCCACAAATGATTTTGGCACACAAGATTCTCTCATATATGATTCTCCCACACATGATTCTGGCACATAGTATCCTCTCACATATGGTTCTCCCACACATGATTCTGGCACACACGAATCTCTCACATATGGTTCTCCCACATATGGTTCTGGCACACAAGAATCTCTCACATATGCTTCTCCCACATATGGTTCTGACACACAAGAATCTCTTACATATGGTTCTCCCACACATGATTCTGGCACACAAGAATCTCTCACATAGGGTTCTCCCACACATGATTCTGGCACAAAAGAATCTCTCACATATGGTTTTCCCACTTATGGTTTTCCCACACATCGTTCTCCCACACATAGTTCTCCCACACATAGTGTGTTTGTTGGTGTTTACCGCTGCAGGATATGTTGAATAGGAGGTGCTGTACATTAACCTGGTCGATGAAAAAAAAAGTACTTTTTAAATTTTTATTGTAGAAAATAGAACAGGAAATCTGAACTTAATGTGGGTAACCGAAAACTGATATGGAACATAAGACTTTACGTACACACACGCCACACACGCGCGCACACACACACACGCCCGCGCACACACCGCACAGATTTTTTTTTAATCCATAAACGATGAGTTGTAAACCCTTTAGCTTGATACTTTGGATATCACAAACCTTCAGCCTTGATTCCATGATAGATACCGTCAATCTGGGAGAAATGTGGCTTTTCTGCCTACCCCCGGGCGCGAACCCGGACCACTAGGAGTTTGTCACCCTGTCGCCGCGCCGGGCACACACCAAGATTACATAATATCAGAATAAATGCAGCTTGATTCTACAGAAACACAGAAAATAACGCAACACAGCTATTGTGTTTTAGACGCCAATGTTGCGGTCGTTGAAAAAAAAAATACATTTGTTTTGTGGTCTGTCGACTTCAGAGGAAGCTCAATTCAACTTTTACACCAGTCAAGAACGTGTGGAAACGGTATCCGCTTGTGTTGCCTTGGCGTTCTACTGCAAATAAAAGCATAGCCGGAACTGGATATGGAAGAAAATACAAACTTGAAGACAAGAGATTCTTGATAATATATAGACTAAATACCTCGGGAACGTCTGTGCCGGGGGCTGGGAAGAGGAGAGGGTATGTGGTCTCGACAAACTACGGCAGGTAATCCCTGGCGGCAGACGTTAATCCCGGGACTGTTGGGGTGGCGAAGGGAGACGCGACAAAGGCCTATTTGGAATGACACAGTTAGCATTGCATCGTTCCTGTTCCCATTCGCAGAACTGTCAGCATTACTTCTAAATAAGTTATTCTGGGTCCAGTTTTACATATATCTTATCTTACCTATTCCTATCTGAGTTTCGGGATCCAATTCGGGGGTGGGAGAAAAAAAGCGGGGGGGGGGGGGTTCTCTAACAGACATGTTGTACAAAACTACTAATTATGGACGTTTCTTCAAAGTCGGGGTGTGCCGGCCTGAGAGGTAAGACGCCAACAGTCTGCATATAAAAGTCATATCTGTAAAACGGATGTGCAAGCAAAGCTGAAGTTCTGGAGCAAATCTTAAAAGTCGGGAGATTTGAACTAGTGTTATTGCATACGGTTATAAACCGTAAGTGCTCTGCCACCAGTACGGACAGCTAATATGAAACCGCCGGCCTGTGTCGCCGTCTGCACGCAACTCCGTAGCTACAGCGACGTTCCTCCATTTGTCCCAGTGTTAACTCTGGTACCCACTACCTAGAGACTGGGTGAATCCCGGGAACCGCCCGGTTTCGAACACAGGCCGTGGGCTGCAACGAATCGCAGCTGGATTTGAAAGCTAGTCTCCTATCGACTGCGCTTACGTGGCCCGAAACAAATCTAAAGTTTAGAAAGAAACTATCGAACAACCAGAAATTTCTGCTGGAGTTTACAGCCGGTGAACGTGAAGAGGATGAAGAAGTATTCAGATTTGCACACATTTTTTACTGACTTGTGACTTCTGAAAGTGACAACACTGGAATACATCGTGACAGTAGGACAGTTGGAGGGGAGAGAGGCAGAGGGAGGCCGACATAAAAGATGTTGGACAGTTTCACATAACGGCATCATCTATATGAGACTTGATTGAAAATACACGAGATTGAAGGATGTGGACGGATATGACTACCAATGCCACAATTCATGGACTTTAAGAAGAAGAATGTAGTGGACAGATATGACTACCACATGGACTTTAAGAAGAAGAAGGATGTGGACAGATATGACTACCACATGGACTTTAAGAAGAAGAATTTTGTGGACAGATATGACTACCACATGGACTTTAAGAAGAAGAAGGATGTGGACAGATATGACTACCAATGCCACAATTCATGGACTTTAAGAAGAAGAAGGCTGTGGACGGATATGACTACCACATGGACTTTAAGAAGAAGAATGTAGTGGACAGATATGACTACCACATGGACTTTAAAAAGAAAAAGGCTGTGGACAGATATGACTACCAATGCCACAATTCATGGACTTTAAGAAGAAGAATGTAGTGGACAGATATGACTACCACATGGACTTTAAGAAGAAGAATGTAGTGGACAGATATGACTACCACATGGACTTTAAGAAGAAGAAGGTTGTGGACAGATATGACTACCACATGGACTTTAAGAAGAAGAAGGTTGTGGACAGATATGACTACCAATGCCACAATTCATGGACTTTAAGAAGAAGAATGTAGTGGACAGATATGACTACCACATGGACTTTAAGAAGAAGAAGGATGTGGACAGATATGACTACCAATGCCACAATTCATGGACTTTAAGAAGAAGAATGTTGTGGACAGATATGACTACCAACGGCACATGGACTTTAAGAAGAAGAAGGCTGTGGACAGATATGACTACCAATGCCACAATTCATGGACTTTAAGAAGAAGAATGTAGTGGACAGATATGACTACCACATGGACTTTAAAAAGAAGAATGTAGTGGACAGATATGACTACCACATGGACTTTAAGAAGAAGAAGGATGTGGACAGATATGACTACCAATGCCACAATTCATGGACTTTAAGAAGAAGAAGGCTGTGGACGGATATGACTACCACATGGACTTTAAGAAGAAGAATGTAGTGGACAGATATGACTACCACATGGACTTTAAAAAGAAAAAGGCTGTGGACAGATATGACTACCAATGCCACAATTCATGGACTTTAAGAAGAAGAATGTAGTGGACAGATATGACTACCACATGGACTTTAAAAAGAAGAATGTAGTGGACAGATATGACTACCACATGGACTTTAAGAAGAAGAAGGTTGTGGACAGATATGACTACCACATGGACTTTAAGAAGAAGAAGATTGTGGACAGACATGACTACCAACGGCACATGGACTTTAAGAAGAAGAAGGCTGTGGACAGATATGACTACCACATGCACTTTAAGAAGAAGAAGGATGTGGACATATATGACTACCACATGCACTTTAAGAAGAAGAAGGATATGGACATATATGACTACCACATGCACTTTAAGAAGAAGAAGTTTGTGGACAGACATGACTACCAGCGCCATATGGACTTTAAGAAGAAGAAGGCTGTGGACAGATATGACTACCAACGCCACATGGACTTTAAGAAGAAGAAGGTTGTGGACAGATATGACTACCACATGGACTTTAAGAAGAAGAAGGATGTGGACATATATGACTACCACATGCACTTTAAGAAGAAGAAGTTTGTGGACAGACATGACTACCAGCGCCATATGGACTTTAAGAAGAA